GCAATTTCTTACTTGACACATCCCCAAAGGAAGGAATCAAGAGCAAAAATGAACTATTGGGACCTCATCAAGATAAAAAGCTTCTGCATGGCAAAGGACAATCAATAATAGGAAATCAATAAATGACACTAATAGGCAACTGAAGGAATGGGAAAATATAGTTGCAAATGACATATCAGATAAAGGGCTAGTATCCAAAATCTATAAGGAACTCACCAAACTCCACACCCAAAAAACAAATAATCTAGTGAAGAAATGGGCAGAAGACATGAACAGACACTTTTCCAAATAGGACATCCAGATGGCTAACAGACACATGAAACAGTGCTCAGTGTCACACATCATCAGGGAGATACAAATCCAAACCACACTGAGATACCACTTCACGCCGGTCAGAGTGGCTAAAATAAACAAATCGGGAGACTCTAGATGCTGGCAAGGATGTGGAGAAATGGGCACCCTCCTACACTGTTGGTGGGAATGCAAACTGGTGCAGCCCCTCTGGAAAACAGTGTGGAGGTTCCTCAAAAAATGAACAATAGAACTCCCCTATGACCCAGCAATAGCACTGCTAGGAATTTACCCAAGGGATACAGGAGTGCTGATGCATAGGGGCACATGGACCCCAATGTTCATTGCAGCTCTCTCAACAATAACCAAAACATGGAAAGAGCCTAAGTATCCATCAACGGACGAATGGATGTGGTTTATCTCTACAATGGAATACTACATGGCCATGAGAAAGAATGAAATCTGTGTAGCAACATGGATGGACCTTGAGGGTGCTATGCTGAGTGAAATAAGTCAGGCAGAGGACAGATACCATATGTTTGCATGTATAGGTGGATTAGGAGGAACTTAATGGAGGACCATGGGGGAGGAGAATGGTAAAAATAGTTGGGGAGAGGGAGGGAGGCAAACCATGAGAGACTCTTGAATGCTAAGAACAAACTAAGGGCTGATGGGGGTGGGGGAGAGGGGAAGAGGGTTGGGTTAATGGGCATGGAGGAGGGCACTTGTGGGGATGAGCACTGGGTGTTATATGGAAACCAACTTGGCAATAAACTATTTAAGAAAAAAAAAAGAAATAGTGATGACATTTGGAGCTGTAGGACTGGATACAATAACTGTAGTTAGAAAAGAGAAGGCAGCTGAGGAGTCAACCCCAAGGAGAAGATGTTTTTTACAAGGGAATGTTATCTTTCTGGTGTAGGTAGATTTGGAAGATGCATTGTGAATTAGCTTCATGATGTGCATGATTCAGAGTCTGAGAGTAGAAACAGAGCTTAAAGGGGATGGTTTCCTGTTTGGTTGTTCCGACTGAGGAAATTTAGAAGGTTGCTCTCTGGTTTAGATCCAGAGTGCTGCTTTATTGCCAGCTGCAGAGCCCGCTCCCGGTTAGGGCAATAGGATATCTTTCCTCCCTGCTTTTGGACCCTCTTAAGGTGAACTTCCTTTCTTGTCTTTTGGCTTTAAAGGCAGGCTAGTCCCCCAATTTGTGCTTATGTTGTACCTGTGATGGGGAGTTACCCAGACCAACTTAATCTAACTCCACCCTTATACTAGCCATTTCTTTTCATCCCAAACATCTCTCTTGCTCTCTTTCCCCTTTTCCTTTCATTTTCTGCTCAGAAAACTTTTCTGGCTCCTACTACTAACAGAAAAAATTCCAAACTCTTCATGGTAGATTTTGAAGTCCTCCATTATCTGGCTCTATTTGTCGTTCCAGCTTTGACTCTTTGCTTTCTGTCTTTAGTGTTCAACGTATGTGCTTTTTGCTTCACTGAACACCCCTGGACCTTCCTTCACCATGTGGCAATCGTGCTTCCCCCTGCCTAGAATGCCTAAATATTTCCCACTCGTCACTACCCAGCTGACCCACTAAGAGCCCTAAGGAACCCTTAGCAGCTTCCAGATTTTGAGAACTCTCAGCTTTGAGTTTATTCTCCACCCTCTAGTTTAGCTTTCTGGGGAGGGTCTCAGGTATAGAGAACATTTGTGGGGAAGACCCTTCTTACCCCTGAACAATTATGCCACCTAAAAAGCAGCCAACATACGGGTATCCCCATCAATCTTAAGGGCCTGGATGAGCTATGACCCTTTTCATCCCCACTCCCCCAGGATCATGGCCCTAGCTTAGATGCTTTCCTCCATGCAAGCATCTCTCAGTCCTTCCACACAGTTAGTTACTCCTTTTTTGGTGTCATGACAGCAGTTTTCTTGTACATACAATATTTTGCCTTGTTTAATGATTGTTTGCTATATGCATGTTTCTTACTAGATTGTAACCTTCTTGAGGAAAGGTGCTGTTGTTATGAATCTATATATTCTTCCTGCGGGGAATCTGATGGCCTTCAATATCCATTCTTATCTCCTATATTTCCTAGACTCCCTTGAAGCTAGGGTTCTCGATATGGATTAAGTTTTTCCAATTAGATGTGTTTCCATGATATTTGGAAGGTACGGTGATTTGTTGCTATTTCTTTTGGTAAATAGGGTTATGGAACATGGATATTGACAGGCAGTTTTGGCATCAATGCCAGCAGCTCTGGATCCTAGCTTTCTGATTCCTGGATTGCTCTATTGATGTCTTGAACTCAGTAGTTCTGGGGCTCACTTGCTGATTTCTAATAATTCAGCTCTTAAAATTCTAGGCATTCAAAGTCCTATTGCTTAAAATATGGAAAAAGGTTGCTCTTTCATTCACTGACCCTTGACTGAATAAGGGTCAAAATTAGCCTCTTTTGTATGTTACTATGTAAACGTTACTATGTAGATGTTCACCTGGTTTTTTCCTGAAGCCAGACTAATTTCCTCCTTCTATTTCCAGACTAATTTCCTCACCTACTCAATAAATAATTAACGAGTGTCCCTGGGCATTGATGGCTGCACTAAGTGTTGAGCAGTGCATAGTTGAGTAAGATACAGTGTTATTCCCAGTTCGGTAGGAGAGATAATCACAGTAAAGTGTGTGACAAAGGCTATAAGAGAAATACGTGGGAATGTAGAGGAAGGAATGCTTGGAGTGTCTGGAAAGGCTGCCCAGAAGATATAATGTTTTAGTTGGGACACAGAGGATGCCCAGGTTTTTACCTGGCAAAAGAGGGAAAGGAGGTACTCCAGGCTATGGAATGGTATATTCAAAGACATGAATTAATGAAAGACCATGGTATCCTAAGAAAAGGTCAAATCCCTGGCATGACTGGAGCGTTGGGTGCTCCTGGGACTAAACTGGGTAGGTCATCTGGGTCAGATGGTGAAGGGCCTATATATTATGCTAAGGACTCTGAACTTTATTCTAGTCACTGGGGGCCACTGAACAAGAGGGAGATATAGGCAGTGGAAATGGAGAAGTGGGAAGAGATCCAAGAGGTATGAAGGACATAGAGTTGGCAAGATTTAATGACCATTTGAATGTGGAGGTGAATGAGGGTGAGGGCCAACTTTCTCCTCTGTGGTGGAAGAAGCTGAAAATATTTAGATAAATTAATTTTGGCTCTTTGCTATTTGTTTCATATTGATTCCCTTTCTTCTTCTTCCTCTTCCTCTTCCTTCTCTTCTTCTCCTCCCTTCATGCCTCCCTCCCCCAACCTCTAACTCTTTCTCCTTCTTCTTCAGTGCTCAGGAACTCAAAGAACAAAGTCATCTTTGGAGTCAAGAAATGAGGTCTTATCCTCGGAAAGCAGCACCCAAGTGAAGACAGGACAGCATATCTCCACCACGAAGAAGGAAAAGAGTCATCAAGGTCATTGCTCACCAATCATTTATTGGATATTTTAATACATTTCCATAGATTTTCTTTGAAGCGTTTTCCAGAACAATGGATGGACAATTTTGGCTTGTTGGAATCTGTAAGCAGATGACATATGATTTCTCTCTGTTTTATGTGATCAGAAACTGAAATGATATGGAGCTGGAACCAGTCTAGTCAGCCGTAGTGGTAGCAGCTCAGGTAACTCTCCTTCTGGTGAGGGGTGGGAGCCTACATGTGGCAGGTGTTGTGGACTTCAGAGTTGACTCTTCTAGCAGCATCTCACCATGTTTCATTTTAGTGTAGGCTATGAGGCTTACGATTCCTAGTGTTTTGCCCATTGGAGCCAAGCTCACCGAAGCCCAGGTGTCCTGTCCTCAGGCTCTAATATGTATCTTCAGAATACCTTTCCTGTTTCTGAACTTTTGGGAGGAGTTTCTACCATTCAGTGATCCAACCATGTCCCACCTACACAGAGGGAAAACCAGGAAATGATTTAAATCCCCAGACAATCAAAATTGGGATCTGATTATGTCACCCAATTTACCACTCAGATTTAACCTAACCAGAACACCCTAGAATTGCTGCTTAAAGAATGGAAACTCCCTAAAAGTGAATACTAGTCCTCATAAGCATCCTTGCAAGTAGATAGAAGAGAGAAGGAAGACATACATTTTCAATCTCTTAAACAGAAGTAAGGAAAAACTTGACAAGTAGATTTCTTCTTTGCCTTTGGGTTGCTTTAGCTCTGGTGTGTGCACAGCCTAGGGCTGATTCCTTTTCTGCTCTTGTACATAGTCATAGAGGGGGTTAGGAGAAGGAGCTGCCCTAGTCAGATGACTTCCACTCTGTTCTCTCCTTGGGTGCCTCCCACTGCTCTGGGTGGGATGGAGGGTCAGGTTACTGCCTCTTCCCTGGGAATCTTGCCTCTGGCTATTCTCATTTCTGTGGAATTTTTCTCTATTACCACAATCTTGCTGCTGGATCCCATAAGGTTGTTGATCCTGGGACCCTTGATACCTTTCTTCCTCCTCAAGGGTTTGCCTATCCCATTGTCGCTGACAGTTTTGATTCTCTTTGTGGGTTTGCCTGTTTCGTTGCTGACGGGTCTGGTCACCTTCGTGGGTTTGCCTGTCTCGTCGCTGACGAGTCTGCTCACCTTCGTGGGTTTGCCTGTCTCGTCGCTGACGAGTCTGCTCACCTTCGTGGGTTTGCCTGTCTCGTCGCTGACGGGTCTGCTCATCTTCGTGGGTTTGCCTGTCTCGTCGCTGACGGGTCTGCTCATCTTCGTGGGTTTGCCTGTCTCGTCGCTGACGGGTCTGCTCATCTTCGTGGGTTTGCCTGTCCTGTCTCTGATTGCCTTGTTCCTCCTCATGGGTTTGCCTGGCCTGCATCTTGCATGGAGTTTCCCGGCCCTCACAACCATGTCTGCCCCAGCTTCGGCAGGCCTGCTCTCCCGCTGCCTGGTGGCTCTGCCTCTCTCCATGCCTGGCCTGCATCTGTCTGTGGTCCTGCTCACCACTACATGATTGCCATTCACCTTCCTTATAACTATGTGGCCCTTCTTGCTTGATTTGTGCTATGAGTTTGTGTTGGTGGTGTTGACTATCTTCCTCAGGCTCCCATGCCTGGTGGCTGTTCTGCTGCCCTTCCCTAGACTGGAATCTTTGCCCCTGATTTCGAGTCACTTCTTGTCCTTGAGTCTGTTGACTTAGTCTCCCTGACCTTCCTGATTGCTCAACATATGAGTCTCTGCTTGTTTCCTCACTCCCTTGAAAGTAACTATTTTGCTCTGTTTCCCGAATCTCTGACTGACCATGGTGAGAATTCAGCCCTTGTCTGTCTGTCTGACCATAATGATAACTGTGGCCTTCTCTGTCTGTCTGGCCAGAACAATAACCCTGGCCTTCTCTGTTTGTCTGACTGTAATGAGAACTCAGGCCTTGTCTGTCTATCTGGCCATAGTGGG